CCAGGCGATGTACGTTGCTAAGCAAAGAGATTAAAATGTGACCGGGCGATGGATCCGGAACATATATTTCCCTTTATTGGGAAGCTTCAACTTGTTCCATTCGTTTGGCTGAATTTATCGGTATGTTTTATCGGTATTTTTTATGTATGCTGAATTTATTGGTATGTACATCAACATTGGGGTTTGTCGTCATGTTTTGAATTTTGACAAAGTAGTAGAAACGTTTCCCGAAAATGTTGTCGACGGGGGGGAGGGGGGGGGTTGTCAAAATATTTTCCGGACTAAAATAAGCAAAGCTTCAAATATTTTTCCACCAATATAAGCAAGACTTGCAATTGTTTCAGCGCAAACATAACCAAACCTTAGAAATTGTTAAAATTGCGAACGATTCCATAACTTTGACCATCTTTTGTCTCAAACTGTGACCAAATTTTACCAACTTTGACCTTCAATTTTAGGCAAATATTAGTTCCATTTTAACCAACTTTGACCGTTTTGAATTATTGGGGAGCCCCCTCCCCCACCCACTGTAGCGACGTCCCTGCTCTGATCCTAAGTCTAACCCTAACCTTCTAACCCTAACCTTCTAACCCTGTTCCTACGCTAACGTACACCTATGGTACAGAAAACTGAAATAAGCGCTTTCGTGTAGAAAGTTTTGTTTGAATACGGCGAGTGGAAATATTTATTTTGAATTTTTCGATATATCGGGTTTTTGCTCATTTCTATGTTAATTAAGCAATGTGTAAATCAATATTCAGCACACGTCAAATTGTAAAATCTACTGCAGTTTAATTGTGCCGCAATTTCCGGTCACGGTGTGGCTCTGCCTTTTCGACATTGGCGAGCTGGGTACTATTTTTCTGGGGGGGGGGGGGGGGGCAGTGAGCTATCAACCAATATGCGCCCCTATAATGTAACGAGGGCCGAAGGCACGAACCGAGCGCCGCAGGTGCGAGGTGTTCCTAGGGAGGTCCGGGGCCATGCCCCCCCCCCGAAAAATTTTTAAATTTAGAGTCTCTGAAATGCCATTTCCTGGACTTTGGGGGAAGATTTGACACAAATCTGATGGTCAGGAAACGAGATTATAACGTGTCGAAATTTGCAATTTGGTTAGAATTTAGTAGTAGTCCCCGAGCCGGCGGCGCGAAGCGCCGTGCGAGGGTACTAATTCCCCCCGGCTATTTACACCCGGGGAAACGAAAGCATTAGGGAAGTCTGAAGTTCACCAAATATCGCGGGCGTGGGTCACTGTGCGTGTTTCGGTTGGTGGTCATCCTCACTGATCTCAAAAATATGGCGGACTGTCATGAATAGCGAACACTGATTGGTCAAATTTAAAATTTGTTGTTGTACG